ATTTCTTATACAACATATCATTCCTTCCTTTAAATATCCATTAATTTCATTCCTTATTAGATTGCATGATCTTTATTCATAAATAAGACAGGTCGACTGAGTATGCATCTACAATCACCTTGCCCACCTTTCATAATGCACCTTATATATACAAAGATTAATTAAGGAAGCACAACTTTAGAAATTAAGCGTCTAAGATGTACCTCCCAGGCTCAATTCACATCTATCTTACTACATACATAATGCCTAACGTGAGCCCAGCCCAAGGCTACAAAACTCCAACTGTGCTTCACCTGTAACACTTTTGATTTATCTGAACTGAACTGTACACCTATTCTGTTTATATATCGTCGTAAGTTGTCACTACGACTCCTCACCATGACCTGGTCAAATGAGTTGCATTCATTCTTTTCGGTCCTAATATACCTTAATATTGAAAAACACTTTATGGTTGAAATGATCCGCAAATCTGTGCGCTACCCAAACACCATCCTACTACACCTAACACTAAATTTAGACACCATTGGCAGACATAATCACTACTGCTGTGTTCATTACGTATTAAACCCCCATAAATACATGAGGGACTAGAGTTTTTGTTATTAACATTTTGCCTTTACTTTTTCATACGTTGAATGCATTGAGTAATGTCAATGCTAAAATAAGTGGCTGGGCAGCTCACCAAATAATTCAGTCGGAACTCTTGTTCGATTGGGAAAGAAAATTTAGGAACGTCCAGACATGCGAGGCATCTTGCAGAAAAGCGAGTTGACTGAGCCTCCTTGCTCAAGCCATTGCAGATTTCTCCCTCTCTCTATTACGATAGCTTTTCACACGTATATAAACCATTTTAGATTCATATTCTCCATATTTTAACGTCTAATGTCAAAAATATCATAACTTTCTACTCTCAGTCCCATGCACACAGCCTGCCCGTTACACTCTTTATAACCAATATTATCCTTCTGTCAATCATCGCCCCTATCCGTCTCCCCGTAATATGATCATGCGGAGACCAACGGTCCTTGGCCCAGCTCAGTCACCCTCTCCTCAGCAGCTAAAGTCCCACACTTATATAACTGTTCGGCCAACAACAACTACGTTATCCCACCTATAACACTCATGATGACAACCCCTACCTGTGGGTCTCTTCGTTACCCACATACGTAAACTATCATAAATTAAAATATCATAACATATAATCTGCGCACGCGAGTACACATACTTAACCAACCCATGAACTATAAACTAAGAGTACTCATCAGTATACAGGGAGAAAAGACTGCCGTATTCTCATAACTGATATCAATTCACATTACTAATGTTCATTCAAGCTTCGTTAATACAAAAAGCGTGTATTAAAGTGAACCCAAGATCACACCATCGAAAGACCGAAGAATTGACAGACTTACAAACTATTATTTTATATCTACATCTCTCTCTCCTCTCTCTCTCCTATCTCTCTCCTCTCTCTCTCCTCTCTCCTCTCTCTCTTCTCTCTCTCTCTTCTCTCTCTCTCCTCTCTCTCTCTCTCTCCTCTCTCTCTCATATATACATACATATTCATTCTTCTTTGTTAATATCCATTAATTCTTCCTTATTTAGATTGCGCTATCGATTAAGAAAGCACCTGAGGACTACGCCCCAATGCCAGAGGGCGAGGAAGCACACTGGGAGGTAGTGGAGCGCATTCTATTTCTCTATGCGAAGCTGAACCCAGGACAAGGCTATGTCCAGGGTATGAACGAGATTATTGGACCAATCTATTATGCATTTGCATGTAATCCTGATGTGGAATGGCGGGGTAAGTACTCTTCGTTAACTTTTGGAATGGGACGTGCTTCCCAACCTCTACTAACCAACAATTAGTTGGCAGACATATCTCGTATTGTGTATACGTTCATGCAGAAGTTGTTCGCTCGTGCGTAGGAGAATGCGTAGGGCGGCCGGAGTCTTGATGTGGTGTGGGAAAAGGAGAAATTTAGGAACAACGTGAGAATCGCGGCATCTTTGCAGAAAGGCGACTGAACCTCTTGGCACATCCATTTCAGAATTTCTCCCTCTATTGACAGCTTTCCCGTGATCCCAATTTGCTTCTCTCCCAAGTTCGGCTCCGTTCTTTATCCACCAATCCCGCACCACCTGCCCGCTTCCTATTGGTCGGGTACTTGACCAATCCCGCCCTTCCCTTCTCCTCCATATAAGGCCAGTGCGCTAGCCATCTGGCAGCAGTACTCTCTAAACAAGGCCACAATACGCTGGCCGAAACGTTAGCCACCATGACATTGACGCGGCTCGTCCCAGATAGCCTAGACAACATAAACTCCGCCCGCGGAAGCCTACGCAACCTTATACTAGGAGTACCCGGTAAAATATCACAATAACCAATCACCAGGGGTGAGCTATCTAAATGACGGTACTTGTTTTTTTAACGTAGCTTATGACGTAAATCAGCTGTTGACGGTGCATCCAAACAGAAGCTTAAACGTCACCGTGATGATGTACAAGCTCCCGATTAGATGACACTGTGATTTACCTCTTGCGCCACGTTAAAATATCGAAGGAATCATTACGCCGTTTCATCGTAATGGATCATTACGCACTACATTTGCGGCGGCGTTGGTGTAACGGTTAGCGTACCGGACTGTTGTACCCAAGTTGGCGGGTTCTAACCCGATCGAAGCCGTGGATTTTTAAGGACAAAAAAATCCTGCGTAGGGAGGGGAAGTAAAGCCGGCTGTCCCATGTTTGTAGATTTACTTGCATATAAAAGATCCTCAAGCCTAAATGACGCCTCTGAGCTAAATTGAACCCGCCTGTTTCTCGCCCAAGAAATACCTCCTTTCTCTGCTAGTTGGTGAAAGGAGCGTAGCGAAATATGCGTGGTCAGACGGCCTCATGGCCTGAGTCTCGCCACGAAAAGTGATTGAGTGTAAGACGCCTTGTGTGTTCGCAAGAAGTATTGTGTCATAAAAAGTAGGTAGTTGAAAAGTATGTTTTTATTATTACACAAACTTGAGGTTTTTGCTCGAGGAAACTCGCCTTCTGTGTTTCTTGGCGATTGCGCTAGGGGTCCTTGGGGGGGGGGGGGGNAGACGGAGGCAAGCGGGCCACCCGCCAGAGACGCTCGAGCTGGAAGGCGCTTCCTCGTTTCCAGAGCACGCGGAGGCCGACTGCTTCTTCTGCTTCACGAACCTCATGGGCGAGATCCGCGACTTCTTCATCAAGTCGCTGGACGAGGCGGAGTGCGGCATCAGTGGCATGATGGCGCGCCTGCTGGAGCAGCTGCGCGCCAGCGACGCGCGGGTCTGGCAGCACCTGCAGGGCCAGGAGCTGTGCCCGCAGTACTACAGCTTCCGCTGGCTGACGCTGCTGCTGTCGCAGGAGTTCCCGCTGCCCGACGTGCTGCGCATCTGGGACTCGCTCTTCGCCGACGAGCGCCGCTTCGCCTTCCTCATCCACATCTGCTGCGCCATGATCATGTGAGCAGCCCTACCGTCACCCTGCACGTTATAATAAACGCGGTAGTAACGTATTATTGCGCTATACATGTGTTTTATTACATCTCCGCGTCGAACCTATCAGCAGATATTGCCTCAAGACGTTTAATGCGCGCACGTGCCGGCATTCATAGCATTTAAACATTACTCATTGTGTTTCCGATGAAGATAGTCAAGAATACACTGATTTTGAATGACGGCTAACATCATTTGACTACTTGAAAAATACTCTGCCCGTGTAGCAATAATGCCCGAGTAACTATACAGCGACCAATGTCTGCTCTTGACTCATGTTTCAACGAAGCTTGTTGGAAGCAAACTGACGTGTACTGGAGATTGTAGTACCTTGTTATCGTTGCGTCTTCCTCTAGTCCAGTCGATGCTGCACTCTGGCAGCGACGTTGAGAAGTAATGTAAAACGAATGCAGAATGTGTACAACTTTACACTATTGAGGATATTTGATTTTTAACAACTTTAACACGTTTTGCCGTTTGTAAACTTCGTGTATTTTTTACGAGGGCAGGGATAGATCTTCCAAATACAGTACAAGGCCCACAAGCCTCAGCGTGAGAGGGTCACAGTTAGCCTATGCCTACATACACTAAAAAACCCTGGTATTCCTCCGATTCTCTTCTCTCTACCCGAAGCCTCTTCAAAACTTTTGCGGCAAAGGTGGCTACCGCACTCCCATCCTCCTGGGACACCAGCATCCTAGTAACGATGGTATCAAATGTCACTACCTGCAGGAGGAGCCGGCGGAGATTTTCGCTTCTCTCAGCGAAGGGTGGGCATTGATACAACACCTGCCCCACATCTTCAACCAGTGGGTCACAGGTTGGGCATGAGGAGTCATCGTTCAACCGGAAACGGAGTTGGTATGCACGGTAGCACGTATGCCCCGTTAACATCTGCGTCAAATAATGATCCATATTTCCGTGTTTCCTTTGGACCCAGTTTGTTGCGTCTGGAACAAGACGGAATGTTCATCTTCCAGGGGATGGTAGAATCCATCACCTTTGCCACTGGGCCGTCACCCCCTTTCTTCCTTTATGATGCTCCTATTTGTAGTCACATCTTTAGAGCCTGGCCCTTTCTTGTGCCATGAAGTGTATAGGAGGCATGTCGGCTATCACCAGCGTCATAAACCGTGAGAAACGCCCGGGCTACCCTCAAGGCGGACTGATTTTGCACTGCTGACGCACGACTGAACCCAATGGTATCAGCCCAAATAGGGGCTGCGTAGAGCAGCATAAAGTTAACAGCGCTAGACAGTAGCCTCCAGCTACTTCGCCTAGAAGCTCCTATGTTAGGCATAATTCGTGCCCAAGACCGAGACCATGCGAGACGCTTTCTACCAGACTATACGCAAGTGCTCGTCGAAGCGCAGTCTCGCGTTAATCTGTACTCCTAAGTATCTTAGTGACTGCTGGGATGCTATTTGCCTGTTGCAGAGGTTGACAAATAAATGGATATGGTTGTTCAGGAGAGCCATCCTTGATTCGTTATCCATCTGCCCTACTCAGAGGTCCGTGTATGTAAGTCCCCATCGATAATTAGAGGCCTTTGTCCTTCCGCATCATCCATTAATCGATCAAGTAATGCTTTGAACTTCTCAAGCGATGCACTCAGTGCGGTATAAACACTATAAAATTATATATTGAACCCTTTAATCCAGGCGAATCCATCCCCTGGCACTGATATAAACTGCTGGATTGGACAAGTACCACAAATCCACACCGCAGCTCGGTTATTCGCGTCCGAAACCCACTAGAGACCGGTTATATTCGTATACGGCTCGCACACGCTTGCGACTTGTATCTTCAGCTCGCGCATCGTCTGTCTGGTCTTGCGCCGCCTCGCAGTGAACTGAACTGAAGGATCATTATTCTCCCAACTCCGCTCCACCTTCCGTAAAGCCTTTTGGTTATAAGGGCTTTTAAAGCCACCAGTTGCTTGCGTCTCTTTCCCTTGACAGAGGAAACAATTAGAGGGCTCAATGCAGGTCCCAGCAAAATGTCTATCCTCTCCACACTGATGACAATTCTCGGACCTATCAGGCCCTTTACAGTTTCGCTCCAAGTGCCCAAATGCGCAGCACCTCTGATACCTGATTAGAACTATATTCTCCCGAACACGACACATAACCCAGCCAATCCGAATTTTGTTCATTCGAACAGCTTTGCTGGCTAGATCTGCTGGTAGTGCAATCACGGCCGTTTTTGGACCACTGTAGGGGTTGCGAATTGACTTAAATATTACATTCCTGTCCTTGGCTTCAATCAGCTGTCTGTCAAAACCCTCGGAAATTTCTTTATTCACTGTATCTTCATCTAGATCTTTGATATCCAAAAGTATCTCTCTTGACAAAGTCTTTACCTCCGCTTTTCCTTTCAGTTGATCGGCTACTGCAGTCTAAACCTGCGCTGCCTTGGAGAAACCCGCGGTTCCCAACTCCAAAAGCAGGTCTCCTTGCCACTCTTTCTTATTTTAACTACATTAAAGCCCAGCTCTTCGAGCGACGGTGCTTCCTTCCTCCACAAAATTTTCGCGTATGTCGCCCCTTCTTTGCCTCTTACTAACGAGGCATCCCGACTCTCGGAGTACGATGGTTGATGGGGATGGTCTTCCTCCTTGCCTCAGCTGTCTTCCATTGGCTCTCGGGTGCATCAACAGACTCGGGTGGTGCCCTCTCAAAAGTGAACGACTCCTCCGCCCTTGGAGGCCCCACCACTCCCGATGTCTTTTCTTTCTCCTTGGGCTTTTTGAGGTTATTCTTCTTAGAGAACACTACGCTAACGGACCGATCACTGGCCCTCTGCCCCGCGCTCTTCGTTGTAGAGGACAATGTTTCAGTGCCCATTTCTACTCCCAGCTTATTGCTTTTTTCTTTCCACGTTCCTCCCGGCCCACGTCCGAAAGGCATTGAAGCAAAAGTGGAGGGAACTCGCCACCTGCTTAATATTTCCTTGGACGTTATTCCTTGGTTTCACGTATTCGAGGAGTTCCATAAGCTTCACTCCCAGCTCGATGAACGCTCGACGCCACTCTTCACTTGATGCGTTAACTGCCAATGACGCCAATTGGTCCACGTACTTGGCTTAGTGACTTGCGCGCGACCGTGGGCATATCAGCCTCTTCATCCCGGTACAATAGCACATTAATCTCCATTAGCTTCGAAAGATCGTTGCAAAAGTGTTTTGAAAGTGATATATTCGGTTTTAAGGCGATTGTCCAATCGGCGACCAACTTTTCTGTTTCATACTGTTGGAAGGGAGTATTTTCTGCAGGCTAGAATGGAATGCGCAGAAAAAAATGTTTTTAATCACGCGCATATTACAAAAGATACAACTTCAGATATGAAAAACCATTGTAATAGTATTCAAATGCTGATATCAAACTAATATTAATATTACATTTTTTGGTGACCTGAATTTTCTTACACCGACCTTAAATCACATATGTTCGGACATTATCGGCCGTTGGGGCGCCTTTTTATCGTTTGGGTTTTTTGGGTATGGCGGTTGCCAACGATGTATATTCAGTATATATATATATATAATATATATATATATATATATATACTATATAGTATATAAATATATGTGCATTACGGTAAACGTTTTCTGTTACGCAGTCCGCAACGGTGAACGGTGTAACTAGCGCGCCGTTAAGTCTCGACATTCACAGGTTCGGTTTCCTAAGGAAGAGTATGTACTATAAAATATTTTTTTGGCTATTACAGTATGCATTGCACAATATGTAACGCTGACTCAGATGTGATTGGTGCAGGTTTCGATTTTTGATTTGTTTTGTCCAAAAAACAGTTTAAAAAACCTGATGTGACGTTGGGGGAAGAAGAATCTGCGCACGTTTTCTTTGAGTTCCAGATCCCTTCCATCATTTTAAACTATAATAGTTATAATGAATAAAAGTTTAAAATAATAATAAGAAGAATAAAAGTGTTAAAAAATGAGATTAACCATTTTTGTAGAAAACTAGACCATTTTGTTGCGGAGTTATAGAAAAACTATTGTCATTGCGTAAACGAATCCAGATTTGATTTTTCTGCATTGCTAAACAAAATAGCAACTCACCCCCAGCTGTACTCCTACCACTGCAAGGCAAAAAGGAGAGGTCAACAAAACGTGCGATAATGAAGCTATTTGCAATGCGAATGACGCAACCTGGAAATGCGTGAGGAATTTTTCTTTACAATTCTTCTATGCGAGCTAACGGAATATGATGAGACGAAAATGCCTTAGTCTAAAAATTCGAATATTTAAATGGAGTTGTATAAATGATGTTTACTTCTCGAGTAAAAACCGGTTCCAGATATCTTACATTATTAGGACGTAAAATACACCTAAAATCGAAAAAAAGATCTCACACTCTCGTACTGCGTTCAAACTGGTTCTTAATACATGTCATTAGTTATTTGTGTGTAGTGAATGAAATGAAATATAGGCTTACCTGTTAACCAAAAACTGTTAGACTTACGTAGCTTGAAAAGCTAGCGGAAGAATTTTGCTCTCTAGTTTGCCCATCTTTCCCTTCAGAATCGGATCTTGTCTTAAACTCGGACCTTTCTTCCTCCCGTGATGTTGAAAACTTTTGAAATAGAACAGGTGTAACACACAAAATTCCCTTCAGACTGCTCCCAACATTCTTACACCAATCAGCTTTTCGCAGTCGCAGCCCGCTCGAAGGAAACTCATCGTTTCCTTCCTGAGGTAAACCCAAACCCTCGTGTGTTTTCTCGAGATGCTGGACATCAGCATTGTCTCAGAAACCAAATTCAGAAGCTACTTGAACCAGTAGTTGTCTGAAATTCTAGTAATTTCTCACAGGTGTATATAAGCGTAGGCATATCACCTACGCTTATTATGATTCTTGGTGGTAGCGTGGAGCTCAATTTTTGTGTTCATAATCCGCGCTATTTGTAGCACGGTATCCCCCAGTAATCGTATCGATTACCCTCAGTTAAC